TTATTTTCAGATAATGACTGACAAAAAGTACCGCTAAGAATGACTCATCCATTCATAAAGAAAAGAAAAAAAGAGAGAGAGACGCGGTATTTTTCCAACAAATCGATATCGATTCAAAACCTTTTGACTAATAATGAAAATACCTGCAACACAGTTCTCATACATGAAAACAATTTAAATCTACGGCTTTTTTTACTTCTGGAGACTGAAGTAAGCAACATAGTTCAATTGTTTTCCTTTATTTTCCACCGTGTTTTTCAAAACCTTGAGGAAACTTTATGTCCATGTTTTTTCCACTTAAGAATTTTTATCATCGGAGCTGTTTATCACCACTTTTTCAAGAGAAGTTTATTTGAGTAAATTTTAAGCAAAGTAAATAAAGAACGCGGAACGGTGTCTGCAAGAAAATGACCCTATATATTTTTGGGAAGTTAACGACCGGAACTGCTTAGAGACCGTTCGTTGTTTAGTTTTTAATGTTTTTGTATTTCTGTATATTGGTCTCCTTATTGTGGACTATCATATGCTGAAATTTTTTTAATCATTTCTGAGCATCAGTCACTCAGATCCGGAATGGTTTATACACAAATTTGTAGAATTGAAAGGGCTACAAAATGAGCTATAACACATTGTTTTAAAAGTTTGCCTTCGCAGATGTATTGGACAAATACTTGACAGATGTCTCGTTTTTTTGCCAATAGTGGCACGCAAAAATGATTATAGTTTCTTCTACAGACAGAGATTAGGTATAGTTTGTATATAGAAAAATGCAGAATTGAAAGGGCTAATCCGAATGAGCTGTAACACATTCTTTCAAACTGTAAGTTTGTTAGACTTATTGGTGAACAAAATGAAAGATATATTTTTCGTGTTTTCCAATTAATTTCGCTAATTTTGATGACATAAGGCCTCTCTCAAATTGAATGTTGTTTGGTGAAACAGTGCTGTATTAGAGAGCTCAAAGCCATCTTGTTTTGTTCAGGAATGTTTTCTGTACACGATAAGGCTGCTACAAAAAAAGTATCACTCGAATTCGGGGACTTAGTTTTCTAGGATTTTGGTTTTCCGGAAACCTGGATCGCAGAAACTTTAATGAAATCTTTATTTGCCACAGATCAGATTGAAAATTCCTTTGAGCTATGAAAATCTTCTTCAGATTTGTCGTAGCTATTATCTTCGAGGAGAAAAACTGAAAATACACGTAGTTTTGAGAGCCACCGTAAATAAAAGTCGGGACAGTTATAAACTATTCAGCATCTTGACGGTATACTTTCTAAAAAATCTAATGTATTTCAGTTTGAAGCTTGTTAACTTCTGCATTTCTTTATACCATAACTATTCTGAATCTAATTTTGTTTACAGCACTATACTTCACTAACTATTCTATACAATCAACTTTTAAGGCGGAGAAATATTAAAAACTAAATAACGAACGGTTTCTGATTAGTTCCAATAAGCTCTCAAGTAATCTTCTCAAAAATATATACGACCATTTTCTTGCAGCAACCACCCTCCGTCTTTTAATTTTAAAAATCGGTAAGTGGAAATTATTCATCGATCTGTCTGGAATCTCCCCAAAACTTCTTAAATAAGCATAATACCGCTTATCTTGTTTTGCAATGTAATAACATACCAACAAATAGAATCAGAAAAAAACCTGCCTTATACCGGTTAACCTTTTGAGGACGGGCGACGTATATATACGTCCAGTTTCAAATCAACTCGTAATTGATTTGTGCATACCTCTTATTATGATTTTATAATTTACGCTACTCTCTCCCCTGACGTCAGCTTCCACTTTCACATACGGCTCATTTTTCACTTATCTTCGAATATATCCCTTCAGGATTTCGAAAATTTCCTTTGTTTTCTTAAAAGTAACGCCGTCCTCAAAGAGTTAAGAAGGAAATAGCACACCCTGTGCTTCAAACAGACAGAGAAACTCGTTTTTATTCCGCCGATGATTCAGACTAAAGCGTACACATTTTAAAATTTGAGTTTACAGTTTGTTTCTATTCATATCAAGAGAAATTGAAAAAACAAGCTAAAATATAAACATCAACTACCAATGTACAGTTTGCGGAAAATTCTTGTGAAAAACATTAACAGTCGTGTTAGAAGTAATAACGTGATGAGTTTGTAGGATGAAATATGTTATGGGTAATTGTGAGTTACTGACACTCTGTGAGTTTGAAAACATATGACCAAATCGAAAAATTTTAAAAGCTTCTTCGGTCAAAACCGATTTCGGATTCGTCGTCTCCATACTCGATTATCTTGTACGCGATAACTTCTGGATCAGGATAATTCAGAAAAAATTTGCTCATGGATCTGATTCAAAAGTTATCGCGTACAAGATAACTGAATATGGAGAAGACGAATCTGAAATTGGTTTGACCGAAGAAGCTTTTTCTATTTGGTCATATGTGTTCGAAACGTTCGTTGAATTCTGTCCTGTTCAGCAGTAGGAACTCATTACCTATTAACTTTCAGAAGATCTGAAAAAAAAATTTTTTGTACTTTATTACATCTTTTTCAGCTAATATTTTTCAAACTTTTTAACAACGACGCTCACTAGTCAAAGAAATGGCTAATAGATCAAAAAAGGACAGAAAACGTGCCAATGGTAAGTTAGGAACTATGTACTTTTTAATCTTTCATGTTTTTCTTCTGTTAGTACGCATATTTTTTCCAAACTTAACGGAATTTGCAGAAGATGCGCCAGCGCCATCCTACGAGTAAGAAATTTAAACTGTTTTACTTCTTAGTGTTTGAGAGGTGTCAAAACATTAGTGGCGCAACTATAGGGAGGAAGAAGCTATCGGGCCAAGGCCCCGTTCAATTTGTATCTTGGTCTAATAAGATTTTGTGCTATGTGATTTTCCAAACTCAATGTTTGAAAAAAAAGTTTTTGGGCCCAGGCTCGTCTTCAACTATCATAGCATGGCTCAGTAATTTTTTTTTGAAACTAGTGGAGTTGGCCCAGTGGTAAAAAAATCCTGGTTGCGCTCTTGCAACACAACTATGAATTTGATATCTTTTTCTAGAATGCCGGATGTCAAAGACGAAGCTATTTTAAATTACAACGGGCAACAACTCACAATTAATGTTCAAATGTTAAATGATCTTGAAAGGCTCGGCACTGGATGTTTTGGAAATGTGATGCTTGTGGACGTTGTTGATCATCCTGAAATCAAAATGGCTATTAAAGTAAAAAGAAATGTCTTATTTCGGCAAATTGTTAATTCCTACATTTTTATCATTAATAGAGAATGACATTACAACCAAAAGATGATTCAAATAATGATTTCACTGCTGATACCGATCTAAAAACAATTAGAGCTGTTGGCTCACAAGATCACCCATATATAATTAAATTTTATGCAGCATTAGTCGACACGCGCGATAGCCAACTTGTTATATGTATGGAAGCAATGAATGCCTCGCTGGATCGTTTTTACAGAGCAATGCATATTGCCAAAAGATTTGAGCAACTTGATGCACTATTACGTCGTGTTTCGAATAACGTGAGTTGAGTACTTTTGAAAGATACTGACCGATTATCAGTAGCTTTCTCATAAATAAGAGATCGATACAGTAAAAATCCACTTTTTTTTATAAAATTAAGTAGTAGATTCGATTTAAAGTGGAATAACGATATTTTTTTCTTTAGATTGTCGATGCTTTGAATTTTCTAAGGTCGAAAAATATCATACATCGTGATGTAAAACCTGGCAATATACTCGTTAATACCAAATCTATTTTTAAACTGTGTGACTTTGGTATTGCTGGACAGCTAAGGAACTCTCTAGCATTTACAATTGCACGTGGAACAAGGAACTTTCTTCCAGTAATAGAATATACGAAGACTATTGATATAAGTTAGTTAATAAGACAGATTTTGAACTTGATTTTAGCCCGAACGTCTCTGGACCGGAGCCCCATATGGAATACAATCTGATATGTGGTCAGTTATTGAGATTCTTGTAATGCTGACACATAAATTTCTTTTATTTTTATTATAGGGCATTAGGAATCAGTTTAGTAAGTGTTTTTTTGTCTTATACATGATGAATTCAAATGGTAATTTATTTTTTTCGTTGCTTTTCTAGCTAGAAATTGCGTCTGGTGTGCATCCATTTGAAAGATTACAACAGTTCGAATTAATAACTAAAATTGCAACATGGATTCCTCAAATTCCAAATACAATTTCAACCGAGATGTCGGAATTTATTTTTATTTTGTACGTTTTGTCTTTTATCTTATTCAAACCTCCTTGTTATAATTGATTTCATGTTACTTAGACTCAAAATTGATTTAAATCAACGTCCAAGTTCATACAATGAAATTCTTGAAATGTCTGTTGTTAAAAATGTATCTGAACAACCATCGACAGAAGAAATTAACTTTGTAACGAGTATTCTAGAAAAAATTCCACCGTTAGATGATTATTAGATATATTTCAGATAGATAAAGATTTTAAACAATGCAAAACTGTTTGTGCTCATTATTTCGTGTTTTTATTTTCTTAAGATATTATTTATACACAATATCTGTGTATATATATATACGCAAATGAATTTTTGCTGACAGTGATTTTTCATGTTACCTTTGATACTAACTTTTTCCATGACGACTTTTTATTATATCTTTGTTTTCTTTTTAAAAAAAGTCTCATACGTTCTAGTTTTCATTATTTTGTTTTTTTATCGACTTTCTACTCTACATTCATAATTACTACTAATAGCAAAAAGGTATTGTGAATAGAAACGAAATATAATTAAAAATAAAAGTTTTTTTGCAAGTTATGATAGAAATGGTGTTAATGAAATTTTTCAGCAAAATTAGCGGGAAAGAGGTAATCCTTTCACCTCAAAGACAAATAAGTGCTCAGCGATTTTAATTAGAAGAGCAGAAGAAAGAGAAATCTTCCTCTCTCCTTTTTAAACTAAGACCAGTTTCTAAAAAAAACTTAAGTAAAACTTAAGTGAAAAATTCGTTCTAAGCCAAATTTTTTAGTTAAGTGTGTTTCTCAAACATTACTTAACTTAAGTCAACTCTCGATTTCACTTAAGTTTTCACTTAAATTTTTAAATAGAAAATTGTTTAAATTTTGTAACTTCTTTATTTGAAGTCAATGACCCATTCAATCCACCATAATTAGTCGAAACATAACTTTTTAGAGATTTTATTCAGAAAATTACTGTAAAATAATCTAAGTTGTCTAACAGAAAATACGAATGATTTTTTCTGCATGATCTCTGCCTGACTTAAGTTTTGTTAAGAAACTACCCCCAGTTTACTCAGAAAAATTCTGAAGTATTTAGTAGTGAAGCCTGCAATACATGTTAATTTGTTATGTTAATTAAGTCAGGGGGCCGTATCACAAAAGCTTAAGTCAGACTTAATTCTTCGTTATGTGCACTTACGTGCTAATTTTATACACTTAAGTCTAGACTTTGACCTAAGTTTTTTCCGTGATACGACCTCCAGAAAAACATAGTTATTCACTAAAATCTTCCCTCTCCCTCCATGATTGTATACAGTCTACTTAGTACTAACATAATATGATAACTTTTCTCAATTTTTCACACATCTTTTTTTTGTTTGGATTTCTTCCATATGCACTCCATCTCTTTTTGTAATAATCATTGGTGTTTTCGGTTTTTCTTTGGTTCTTTCTTTCTTTCTTTCTTTCTCTCTTTTATGTATTTTTTCCTTTCTTCTTGTTACTATATATATTTTGAATACACTTTCATTCGTCTCATTCATTCATTTACTCATAAAATTTAGTGTACGCACTAATTTTATCAGTAATACTTGAGTCAGCTTTCTTTCATTAACATCTGATATTTTTTTATATTTATTTGTTTGTCGGCTTCTTACTAGTGAATTGTGATAACTATATTGAAAACAAGAATATTCTTTTCCCAACGTCTTATGTCGGCGCCTGAGTGCTGATAAACGCATTGTATCGTTAATACGCTTCGTCATGAATTTGCTCGATCTTTCCTTGCTAAAAGTGATTTAATATAACACTTCGCACGTTTAATAAACTAGTGGAATTTCTGTATGTCATTTCATTTCTAAATACAATTCTGCGAAATAGAAACGCTATCTAATGCAGCATTATGCACTTTCTAGTAGTACTAGTATGTGGACTGTTGATAATTATTTGCTAAATAAGAGAATTTCTTCGATGAAATTCATTAGATGAAAGTTTTGGGTTTAAACAAGGACCAGATGAGATTCCATTTCCTGTTTTCGTTTTTTTGGCTCTGCTACAAATACCCGACATATTCACTATTCTACACTAGATGACGCTGTTTTGGTGAATATGTCGAATACTTGTACAAGCAGGGTCGAAAAAAACGAAAATAGGAAATGAAATCTTATGCAGTTCTTGTTTAAATCCAAAACTTTCATCAAATTAATTTCACAGAAGAAATTCTTTTATATAGTAAATATAGTAAACAGTCCACATATTATACTGTGTAGTCTGGTGTAACATGAACGCGCTTTAACGAAGGAAAATATCGTTTCTTGTCAAAACATGCAGAAATAGGTGTGATCAATTCTTACATGGACTGAACAGACATTTTTTGTCTATAATTATTAAAATGCCCTTTTTCCTCTGGGTAATTAGCTTTCCGCATTTTTGTTACATTTCGAAGGGTAGTAATTTAAATGAACAATTCAGATTAGTTTGCCAAAGGAGGTAAACACGTTTTGAAGAGGGATAGAAATTACATTTTTTGTAGATGGCGATATTGGATGTTGGAGTGATCAATCCTATTCGCACCAGCAAGTGATTAATGTTGTGATAAGTGCACGCAGTATATTTGTACTGTTTGACCTCTTTGTAAAACAACCTTTTAGGTTGCATTTTATGAATATATATATATATTGAAGAAAGCACAGAATTGGCAGCTCGATAGAAAAAAATACGTTCGTTCGATCAGCTGATTATTTTTACTTTTATCCTACAGTGTAAAGTTTCAGGCATTTTTTATCTCTATTTAACGTTGCACACGTTTAATTCTATACGTTTTTTGTTTACTTGAAGAAAAAAAGTCGAAATAGATATTCACTTTTGTATAGTAACGTTTAAACAATTTTATTTTCTTTTGTTTTCATGTGTGTGGTTGATGTTTGATGAAAATAGAGGCATGCGGTTCCTAAAATTTCGTCTAAAAATAATAAAATACAAAATATCTGAGGATATTTAAAAATAATATTGATAACTACTATACTCTATGTATTTAAATTATCTAGAGTCATATTGACAATTGTTTTATTGTGAGTAACTAAAATGTAATAAACTTCGCCATACGTACGAGAGAAACAGAAAAGAAAGTAAGAAAAATAACTTAGACGTTAATCGGATGTTTGTCTTTTCCGTCGTACATTGCCAAGGATTACCATTAGGAGAGGAATAGATCGACTTCTATTGTTTCAAAAGTGAACCAAATTGATCTCACCTCTATTAACCATCACTTTTCTTTCAATGTCTGGAATATAATTCTCGAAAGAACGTGTATATACAGAAAAAAAAAGAAATAAATGAATATACGACCAGAAAAAACATGATCCACTTTCTCGATGATATTTCTATATCTATCATGAATGTACTGCAGAAAATATTGTTTTTCTTTCAGTTATATAACTTATGCTGATTGTGTATGCTTTTGACTGCTTACATGGATGCTATTCTAGCACAAAAATATCCCTATATATTTAATATATGTTTCAGTCCGTATCCAGATATTTTGTTTTTCTTTTTCGTTTTTCTTTACGCAAAACCTCGGTGTTAGATTTTCCACTTCAATGACTGATGTGCTTTTAAAGGTGTGCAAATACTCCTGAGTGTACACAATTAGATCGAGAAAAGACTATTCACAGATACTATATTTTCTCAGTTACGTGCGTGCTAAAAGTATAAATAAATAATAAAAATATGCATTCGGTATGAGAAATATCTATTCATTCCTAGTTTTCCTTATGACAATTGTAGTTTTACAATTAGGATCAAATCGTACTCACACTTATTCTTACTTTTCAGATAATCGTCTCTTACAAGTTAAAATTGTTTGAGATCTGGAAATGATCCACATTTTATGTTTCTGTAGAAATTTGTTTGATTTATTTCTCAAATAGATTGAGTTGAACACTGTTTTATGGGCATTTTATATCTCATCCGAATATTTCTTGTTGTTCTTCTGCCACTTCTGTTATTTTACTTATCCATATTTACTCTAATTGAGATCGATGACATTTTGTCTTTTAGCATTACTATATGTGAGACAGTACATCGATTGTTTTCTCGCACTACTATGTTTGACGTAGAGAGTTTATACGTTTAAATCAAAATTTTTATCAATACTACATGTGATCTTTTGTTTCATTTATTTTAAGAAATATTTATTTAAATTATAATTTGGTACAATTTTCTTCCTTTAGCCAACAATTTCATATCATTCTTATTTAATTTTATTTGTACTTTTTTTTGTTATCTATTTTTCAAACAAGGTAAGAGAAGAAAGACTTTTGTAAACATCAGTAGTTGTATTAATTTTGTTCATAGAATGGCCCCATTCACATTTACATTGTATGCCCCTTACAATAAAGCTGCTGCATTAAAAGTCAAAAATACCAATGTTCGTATGTTTGGTGCTGACATAATGATGGAAAAAGATGAGTCCGAGTATGTTTATCAACACATCTCTATTTTCTCTACTTTTGTCAAATTATTTCCTGTTTTAGTGGTTATTTTCGAGCCACAGTAGATCTTGCCGATGGTATTTATCATTATCAATTTAAAATTGTGACAAAATCATGGTTTGAAGCGGAACCCGAACCAGCACTACCGGATTATGAAAATGATGAACAATACAATGAAATGAGTGAGTTGACGATTTGATCTGACGAGTTAGTAGTATACATCTATGTGTGTCATCCGTATATCTATTAATATCAAGATAATAATTTGAAAAAACGTTTCATAATCAAGGCTGATATGTTTTGATGTTTGCTAGACGAATTAGATCTTCAGAGTTATGTAAAACTAGATTTATAGTTTATATTTTCAGCCAGTGCGGAAAAATTAGAAAAAACCGAAGAACATTCAAAATTACTTGCCGAAATTCGTGAAAGAAATCGACAACGTGAAGAAGAAGGTAAACAAAGAAAAACTTAAAATATATAAATGTTTAATTCTCTTTAAATTATACTAGCAACCTTCACTGAAATCTGGTATACATTCGTTGATCCGTATGCGACCGATGTAAGTATCTCATTGTTATGAGATTTCTTTTTTTTAATTAAATTTGTTTGTTTGAGGTTGATGAACGTGGTACAGATGATGCTCATAAAGCTGTAGGTATTCTAACAATTAAAAATGGCAAACGAATAATTGGTACGGAAAACTTTAGTTTCTTGAAATAATCTGATACTATATATTTTTTTTCCTTAGATGAATATGAATGGAAATATGATGATTGCATGTTGCCGCCCGATGAAGAACTTGTTATTTATGAATTACATGTTGGTTAGTTGTAAAGCTCGTTTTACTTGTCGTTTTGGTCTTATATGAGTTTTTATATTCCAGGAGACTTTAGTGGAGGTGAAAAAGATACATACACACGCGGTCAGTTTAAACATGTGATAGAAAAAATAGAATATTTGAAAAAATTGGGTGTAAATGCAAGTAGGTAGACGATGAATTAGACATTATGTTTTTATATTTTTAATGTACTATTTTTCTATCAGTTGAATTGATGCCAATCAAAGAGTATCCAGGTAAGAATCTATGTTAAAAAATCTCCCTGAATACAATCGCTTGTTTTTATATTCAAAGGTAATCACTCATGGGGGTAAGACAAAATAGTAATATCTAGCTGAAAGAGTAGCTTGTACGTAAATATTCTTATAAGCTACAATCCTCGATATTATTTCGCCATTGAAACGAGCTATGGGACAACCGCTGATATGAAAGAAATGGTCGATGAATTTCATAAGAATGGTATGCGTGTTATTTGTGATGGGGTGAGTTTAAATGTCAAATTAGCCAGCATCTCACTAGGAATAATATTGTTTGGCTTTTTAGGTTTATAACCATAGTGATTGTTCTTCACCACTCACACAAATTGATCATGATTATTGGTATCATCATAATCCTAAAGATGTTTCCATGTCTTGGGTAAGTTCAGCAGTTTTGTTCGAACGTAGCTGGTATATTGTTACTGCCAACTTCATTTGGCAAATCAACGGTACAGTGGATCTGATAAAAACCCAGAATATTTCCATATATTTAAGGGTCCAGAATGGAATTATAATCATTTCGATCAAAAATACAACGTATGGCCAGCACGAAAATTTATCGGTAAATGTTATTATAAAATAAATTGCTATTGGTATATGATTTATGCTTTTTTTGCGACTTCAGGTGATAGTATACGTTATATGGTTGAAGAATTTCACATTGACGGTAGGTAGAGAGTTTCATTATGTGTTAAGATATATCGGGGAAGCACTAGGGTAATCTTTCTTTACTTACTGTTCGGAATTCAGGATTGACACTCTTCAAAATGGAAACGGTTCAATTACACGTTACTACTACGATTCTATACGTATAATTTGTTTATTTTTCAATAGGCATTCGATTTGATGCAGCTCGTCAAATTCAAAATTTTGACTTTTTACATTGGGTAACAAAAGAAGCGAAGAAAGCTGCTGGCAGCAAACCTTTTTACACTGTAGCCGAATTTTTACCAGACGAACCATGTATGTATATACATATAATTATGCGTTTTTATTATACAGAAAAAAATTGTTCTTGAGTACTAATGACGGGAGGTCCCTAACTGTCTCTACTCTTTTGGCTACAAGTGGACGTCAATGAGACTAGTAAAGCCTAAAATTATTCCAGACCCACCGACCTTCGGTGTTGAGATAGGACCAAATCATTGTAAAACTTACGTACGACCAATCGTTTTATTTTTGCATCTTCTGGAAAGTGCTGAGCGATGAAATCTTTTTCTCAAATAGACCTAGTTATTGAGTCACTGTGTCAGCGTTCAGATCGATCGACTCTATAGATTTTGAGATATTGAATTTTTCAACTATCGATTGTTAACCGGTAGATAGAAATGATCGTTCGACACACGTACAACAGAGTTATGTTCGATCAGTTGCTCGTCTCGTTGAGCAAACGGAACGACATAATTCAATTCATTCTTGCACCTAGGCAAATGTCGGCGTCTGGTTTTTCAGAGTCTCATTCGATACGCGTGGTTTGACAACGGATATGTTGATTCTTATCCCGGCGAATTCGAAACTGTTCGACAAGTTTGCTTTTCTCTCTACGAAACCCCATGTCAACACAAAGACTGTGGTTCTTTCTCCTGCATCCAGTGTAGCTGGTGCCAGCAAATTCTCTGCTTCGAACACTTCTCCATTAGTCGAACGTCAAAATCTTCTCTTTCTTATTTCATGTGTGTGTATGTGCAATGTTTAGCTAAGATGTGTGAGAATAAAAGAGTGGAAGACCATTGCAATACGTGGATACATAAAAAGTTCAATATCTCAAAATCTATAGAGTCGATCGATCTGAAACGCTGACACAGTGACTCGATAACTAGATCTATTTGAGAAAAAGAATTCATTGCTCGACTCTTTCCAGAAGATGCAAAAATAATACGATTGGTCGTACGTAAGTTTTGCTTATCTAGACAATTATTTAATCCCATCTCAACACCGAAGGCCGATAGGTCTGAAATACTTTTAGGTTTTTCTAGTCTCATTGATGTCCACTTGTGGCCAAAAGATGGGGTCAAAAGAGAGGAGACAAATGGGGACCTTTCCTCATAAGTAATGCGATAATACCTATAAAATGTTTCTATTTAGGTATAACCAATATCGATGGTCCCATGGACGGTGAGTAAGATTTCGTGTGTAAGAAAAAATGACAATGTTTATCATTTTAGGGTGTTGGCATGATTCGTTTTATTGGGCACTACGTGATTGTATTTTACAGGATAATGTTGATTTAGAACGTTTGAAAAGCGTTATCGATTGTCGACGTCAAGGCTTTTTTGGTGTGTCGAATGTGGTGAATTACATTGGAAATCATGATCATGATCGTTTATTCGTCGAACTAGGTAATTTTTCACATGTTCTGAAAGCTGAAAAATTATTCTGATAATTAAACTTTGTTTTCTTCTACAGGGAAAGAACGTAATATATTTGGCGATGAAGCATTTCGTCGTATACGTTTGGGTGTTGTTATCCAGATGACTGCCATAGGTATTCCAATGATATGGATGGGAGAAGAAATCGGTGAATATAAAGAAAAATCGCCAGGTGTATCGAAAATCGATTGGTCATTAATTGATGGTATAGTTGATGAGACAAGAGATACCCCAACGTACGTCTACAACAGATAATTTTTTCTTTATTTTCCTAGAGCGTCCGGATAATTCAAATGCACAAAATAAAGCATTAGTCGCATTTTATTGTGGTTTAATTCATTTAAGAAAAGGAAATAAAGCATTTTTTTCAACAAATCTTGAATATATCCATGAAGATGGGAATACAAAAGTATTAGCATTTCAACGGTAAGTAGTTATTTCATTCGTTCATGATATTCCGATTCATTGATTCTTTTTCTATTGTAGTTGGTCTGATACCGGAGACAGAGTCGTTGTTATCATTAATTTTTCAGCAAATTTTCTAGGTAAAATACTGCTAGAGATGACACATTCAGTTAAACTAAAATGGGACTTTTTTTTCTTTTTAAATTTCATAGCCGGCTATAAAGTACCAGGTCTTCCATGTAATGGACGTTGGCATGAATGGACGTTTAACTATGATATTACTAATGCAAATAATGAAGTGATACTTGATTTAGCCGAACATGAAGCAAAAATCTTAGTGTGGAGAGGAGACGACAAACCACAAGAACAGCCTCAGCAAGTAGAAAAACCAGCTCCAAATTTGACTCAAACTCAGAATGAAGAAAAAACACCAGAGCAGAAAGAGCAGCAACCACCAATTCAACAGCAGTAACTCTGTGCGCTCAAAATAGACCATGACAGTTTTTTCGTTACGTAGAGAATTGAATAATCTGTTGCAGTTTTATTTCTTTTTCGTTTCTCATACATTGAATTTATGTTTTTTCGTTTTGGTAAAAGAGAACTGAAATGTCTTTTTACAATAATAGTCATACGAGATTCGTCATTTTTTTCTAATTTGTCTTATCTTAGTATATGTATATGATGTTTCAAGCACATACAGTGGTCATAAAACCAGACTCTATCTCTTACCTTCGTCTACTCTAGCGCGTTCTTTCTCTGTCTCTGTTTTTCTAACTTTCTAAGTTTATTTTTTTCTCGCTTTCTACATCAACACTCCTATCAAAATAACGTTTGTTATTTCACCAATATCACATGTTTCACTGTTCCTGTGTGTTGTCTTTTAATGAAATTAACAAACAATAGTTAGCTTTTTTTTCAACCATAGTTCCTCTACGATTAATTACGTTTCGTACAAAATAAGACACATCAAATTTTCATTATTGTGTTTCTTTTATTTTTGTTGTTTCTTTTTTACTGAAAACCCATTTTGTTGTTGTTGTTGTTGTTAATGCTTGTCAAAAATATTTTTTTGTTCTATTTATGATACAAAGTAGGAGAATTACTCATTTCAAATGTAGACTGTTTGTGATGTTGAGGAAAATATTTTTTTATGAAACAGAATGTCAAGATTTATTTACATGTCCTGAAAACACACTTTGTAAAAGTTATCTTACAAGCAATAAAAAGTATATAACAAAGTATAGTATGGTATTGTAAAATTTTCATTTGACTGTTTACATCGAGTATGAACGAAATATTACTGTTTACAACATGATGAGAACCTAACGTATTTACCACTGACTGAGAAGTCTTGCACATTCTTGATTTTTCTTAATATTTGTCGTAGTAATATAGCCTAAAGAAAAATACTGCGTATTTTATTTTTTTTTCTGTGATAAAATAGATAAGATTATTATTCATATTTCATCCTCATCACATTTTGTCTTGAAAAATACTAGCTAAAAAGAAGTACCGTTTTCACTTTTATGCAATATCATGTACGAAGAATAGCTTAAAAATGGTCGAAACAATAGGTCGAGATATCGAAATTAATACTGTATTTTAATTTCAATTTTAAGTAATTCGAATTAACATCAAATCATTCTGACCACAAGTCTTACTTTTTTTATTCAAAATCGTGTCTGGAGAAGTATTTTAATGTTTGGTAACCTTTTCTGTTTTTTTTCTAAGAATTCTCATATATTTAAGAGACCAGATATGTAGCACAAAATTAATCTAAGATCAGTATCACTTTGCCATAGTTATTCAATGTTTTACATATACGTTTGTAACATGTAAGTCTATTAGTCAATAAAAGCTCAACGACTGACAGAACATATGATATGTTGACTAGAAACACATAGCTTTGCTTCTAGATTGTTGATCATGTTGACGTGCTGGTTTTTACGAATTTTTTACCTTTTCTATAAAAACTTTTTTTAAAATCAACATTCAAAATTTTTGAAAACTATAAAAAAAGCAAAACAAGAAATGGGATGAGAACATCATCAAAAAGAGAGAAAAAACAAAATATAACCAATAAAAGAGGAAAAGATAACAACAAAAGTTTTGTAGCACACAACAGTAAAAAGAGCAAACCATCACAATAACAACACGAGCAGTTATCACCAGAAGAAGAGTCGAGTAAAAAATATGTCTAGAAAAAAAACCAAATAATTTACTACACGCGTTTATACTAACAATTTTCTTTCAAGAGATTAGTTAAATAATCTCAAAATTGCTTTGGAATCGTTTTTTCATCATATGGACTAGTTCAAACAAGTACGATTGCTCAACGGAATATTGATGAGAGTAAGAAATAAATGCTTAGATGTGTATCCTCACAATTCTGTTCCGTCATGTATATTTGGAATGCTTTCCTCTGTGTTTGACACCGTCGTAGCAGTTCTTAGACTATCATCACCATCGACAATATGACGAAGTCGTGTATCAATTAAATTTGGTTTTCCTTCTAATTCCCATTTTGACATTGTAGATTTTATTTCTTGATCATATGAATCCCATTCACTGATGATACGCGTAGCAGCATTCAGTTTTGGTTCTTTTGTCATTGGATTATTACACAAATCAATTGTTTTCGCTTTTTTCTTTGAATTATCATCACACCAAGTCTCACACCACAACCATTCTTCGGGTAATGAATAAATATTTACTTGATGGATCATATTATTTGGTAGATCTTGATCAAGATTTGATAATGAATTTGGATCTTGACTAAGACCATAATATTGACCTCGTAGACGATCACCTGAAGAAAAAAAAGAGAACAAGCAAACGTAGCTTATTATTTAAAATATTCGACTGTAGTTACCTGCAGCAATCTTTCGAAATTTTTTCAAATCAATAACATACAATGCACTAATATGATATCGTCTATGTCCTAAATGAGTTGACCAATAACCAGTTTTCCAAAATCTGTAGCCATCCATTTCTTTTCGACTTTCACAAAATGGTGTATAACCGTAAGGGGCACCTATAACAAGCAAAATTTTTAATTAAGAATAGAATTTTCACTACTTATTTTGTCATAAAAAAAAAGTACCATGTAAATCAAGATCACGTAATTCAGCCAGATCTGCACGAACAACTTGATCGGCGTCAACAAATATAACCTTTTTCAAATTCAATGGAAATAATACATCGAGAAATAATATCTTGTAGCCCCCTAGAAAATAAAGAAGAACATATTTGAAGTTTAAAAACAAAATAGTTAAAATTTTTACTTACAAATGACACGTTGTTTCTCGGTCGGTTGTACCGTAAGCCATTTTGGCCATTTGTAATGAACTAATTCATAATCAAAATTATACGTTTTAGCATAATACGGTAAAAAACTGGTGAATGCTGGTGATAAAAAATTTTTTAGAAACCAAAATTTAACATGTTTTTTAGTATTTTTTAGTACACTCAACATCATAATTCGAAGTAAGCGTTCATATAAATGACCGCTTGCTACAGAAAATATATTTAGAGTATCTTGATCATCTATGTCATCTATTTTCGTTGATTTTCCAGCCGTTGTTACTGATGAACCAAAAGAAAACGAATCCCATATACTTCCACCTGATGACGGACTATCATCCGAATCCTCCAACAGTTTTTCGTTTTCTGTTCCAGTGGTACGAGTAACATAAATTTTAATCCATCGCGCATCAAATGAACGTATGCCAACAATCACTGGTTGAGTTGTACGAGTAGATGAATCGGTATTGTCATGAGCTGTTATCGTATATAATTCGGATGAACGACCTTCACGTAGATTTAGTACCCATACGCCAGGATAAGCTTTCAATTGGAAATACCCTAAAAATATACAAACATGTATTCTTTGTATCTCTCATTGGCAGTTAAAGAAGAAAAGCGTAATATACTCTCACTAGTATTAAATGTAGAGTGAAGATAAAATATGAGCTGAAAACATAGCACTTATTTTGCTACTAATACAATTTAGAGTCATTGAAGATTGTTCGATGTTCGATTTAACTTCCCGAATGATCATTAGTCGTAGACTGGAGTATGCTTACATCCATCAGATTACAAACGTATATGACTTCGAAAGCATTCATCGTTTCATTAGAGTATTCGCATTCAGGTTTTCTCGCGCAGCATTGTGTTCCATTCTTGTTACTTCAACGTATTGTTGTTGCTGTACTCATATCTAACACACATTGAGTTCTATGGCTCTTTAGTATTTCATTTATCAAGCACGAGTTCTTTGTACGTGCCTCTACACGTTTTAACATTCCTTGTGTTTGAAAAAATCTAGATATTTAATCATAGTTTAGGTATACACTTTTCGTAATATTTGTGGTTCTGGCAGATGTTTTAATATTAGAATTGATCGTTTGTTTGGTGGCCTTTTTTTTACTGTTTGTTCCTCAGTTACTTACCCAAATTAGCCATAACTATAGTATCAAATATATTTGGTGTCGAGTTTGTTCCCAATGTGAGCTGTAAACCTCTTGGATAGTTTTGTGTTTCATCATAACATTGACCTTCAATAAGTAAATATTCTAATTCAAAATTTGCATTCACGCCTAATGGTACTTCTTGTAAATGAATATTATCCAAATCATATGGAGACATAACAGCTTCAACCATCCATGATTCCGGTGTTATCATGCCAAGTGTTAATATAGGACTCTCGGGTAAATCTCTGAATATCGCCGATGGTCGCTGTTGCTGTTGATCAAAAACGTATCGGTAATAACTTTTCAATGGCATGTCTGATAATTGTAGTTTACAATTGAAATGGATCGTTAAATCAATGTTAATTGATTGTTTAAGTGCAACAATCAATGAAATTAAACGCTGACCATCACGACTAGCTGAAATGATAAAAGCATTGAGAGAAAATATTGAAAAAAAAGCAGGATTATTTTACCTGGATCAACCACAACTTCGACTAAAAATGACGGTTCATCGTCATTGGAAGCTGGTAAATGAACACTTGCTTTCATTGATTGTACTTGTGGTGGTTGTTTTCGAACAACATTTTTATCACTTTGTCCAATAATTGATGATATTCTCATTAACAAGTCAGATAAGACTGATGGATCATCAAATAATTGTAAATTGGTTACTGTACGCACAAGTTTATTATTGATTGTTTCGGACATGTGTTTGTCAAGTAAAACAAAATCTTCTTCCGTAAATATTTCGTTTTCTCGCAATGGACCCAATATACGACCATTTACAATCACCGAACGTGAACCTTTTGGTAAATTAAGACCTTTTTCTAAGAAAACCATATGTGACTGAAAGATGCTATTATTGAATGAAGAAATTTCCTTTTCTAATACTGAACCGCTTAAGCCACTGACACCAATATCATCCCATGTTTTTCGTTTTTCCATCAAATCTTGTATAGTCGTTTCTTTTAGCAATTTCATGATGAAATTACGAGCAATCGGTGGTGATAACATTCGGATAGCTGTATAAACAGCTTTTGTGATTGGATGACTGCCAGGTTCAGATTCAGAACTAAATGAGGCCTAAAATGAAGAGTAATTTGGTTGCGTTAATATAAATCAGTTTTTTTAAACTCACCAATAATCCTAGTCGAGCGTGAGTATTACTTTTGAGATAGATCAAGGCATTTGTAAATAATAATCTACCATCTAATCGATCAAGATCACACGCTAACCATAATGTGATTGGATATAACGGCTGACCAAGTTCATCTCGTTTTCCTAGATAATAAGTGTGTGCCATTATGCTTGCTGCTTGTTCACGAACACTTAATTTCAAAAATGTTTCCAAATCGTATAAATTTAATGCATTTCCATGTAGAAAAGATAAATCAACATAAGAAGATAATATTGGTGCAAATATTCGTTGATTTAAACGCTTAACTACATTTGGTTTATTATTTAACATTTCAATCATATCCATTTGATCATTTAATTGTCCATGATACACTTGCTGTTGTATATCAAATTGCATACGAAGCATGCGCGTTGTTATAACATCTTCAAATGCTGTTGGTAATAATTCATCGTGTGATAAAGGATTACCATTGAATAATACTTGTGGTACAGAATTTAATCCACTACGTTCAAAATAATTATTCATTTCTTGTCTACCATTATCATATTTTGAGTCATCACCAAATATTAAATCAATATTACCACTAAATTTAATTGTTTTTTTAAATAATTGTTTAATATCTTCCGCTGTTTGTTGTTTTGTTTTATAAACATCATTGATGAATGATAATGCTTTCACAGCACCACTCTGATCTACTACATAACGAAATGAACGATAGAGAGCACGACCAAAATCATCATTATCTGTTCCTGTAGTGACAAATAATAGACCAATACGTATGGGTAATTGATGTACAAGATACGATTCAATATGTTTTAATAGATCATACGATGCTTCACTCGATGATGGATCAATAATTAATATTAAATTGTATAAATTTTTACGTACAGTTTTTAATCCACCAAAAAAATTATTTCTTAATATATCAAATAGACTTCTAGGCCAATGATCATATTCACTATCTTTTTCAATATTATTCAACCATAATATAGCTTCATCACGAAAATCTAAGATATAATTAATTGTTTGAATGTTCAATTCTGATGTTAACAGTTGACGAATATGTGGTTTTTTTAAACCAACTAAATGTAAACGTTCCATCATTTGTCCTTCGTTTAATAATACAGTTAGTAATACATACAAATCAGTTGTATCCAATGATTGTTGAATATTATTAATAAAAAATGATGAATCACCATTTTCAATATTATGTGATGAACGAAATTCATCTTGATTTGATTTATGTGCGTCACGAAATGCTGGATCGATTTTTACTTTGGATAACATACGTGCACGAGATGGAAAATTTTGTGAAAGATCAAGTAGAACATTGAGTACATCATCTATTGGTGCGGAAAATGCACGATAAGCACACTGTAGACTAAGATCTTGCATTTGCCATGCTTTGAGTGGTGCCATAACATCTGCACTATCAATTAAATATGTTCGATATTCATTCAGTTCGGATGTTAACTCTGGATAGAGTTCTATAAATAGAAGTAATGTTGAACAACAATTCATAATAAAAAAAACAACAAACAAACACAAATAAACAAACCTTTTAAATTTCCAAACAAAAATCCTTGTGTATCCTCATTTTTTGATTTCTCATTGTCAAATGTTTCATCATATTGATCATCTTTAATTGCTGAATCATCTTTCGCTTTATATTCGGTACTTTTTATTTGTAATTCAACACCATAACCAGATAAACGCACTTTTCGTTTATCAACTAAAGACTAAATACAATTACATGATTTTTATTTATCATTTTTAGATAGCAGTAAGATGAACGCGTCTCACTTTAACATAATGTCGCAGAATATAATCAATTTGACCAGTTTCTGCTAATGATGATAATTTTTCATGAAATGGTCGAAATTCATTTTGATTTCCAAAATCAGCATACAAAATAACAGTTACTGTTTGACTTATGTTTGAACCCAGATAATGATGATCAAACGGTAACAAGAGTGTTTTGGGCCTATTAAAAAAAACCAAAAAAAGATCAAAATTCATGCACAAAACTATAGTTCGATATGTTTACTCATTGTCAATACGTACTATTGAAATGAAGAGTATGTTGAATTTGTTATAATTACCTGTTTGTCGCTGTTATAAGAAGATTCTCAATATCGTTGACATCACAAGAATAGGAACCATGTATATCAACAAATATTGAACATTCTCTTGTCATCTGCGTATCCATTGCCATTTTTCTCATCATTTGTACGGCTGGTGAATGAAATCTTAATGATAATGATATACGATGCAAATCACTAGTTATTCTATTTAAATGTCGATTGCTGAATTCTAGTATTTGATCAAAGTAAATTTGTTCAGAACCAACTAAAATTAGATAAACAGCAATCATACAAGTAGATAAAACATGCTACATTGTGTTATGCTACATACATGTTTCAGGTGTAAATGTATCGAATACACTAACATCTTTGATAAACTCCCAGAAATAACTTGGATTTTGATTTGCAAGGAACTCACTAGCACAAATGAAAGCATATTTATTAATAACTTATTATAAAACATAATAAAGTATAAAAATCAAATAAAATACCTGGCTTCTAGATGAAGTGGTGTATGTTGCCATTTAGCTTCAAGTGTAACAGAAACGAACTTTTCACGTTGAGCATATGATTGAGAACAATGAAATACAAGTAAAATAAATAAAGAAGAGAAAACAGGACTTATTTGAATAGGAAAATAGTACAACAAACGACACATCTAAAAATACAAATGTATGGTTAAATTAATAAACAAGCATCTTATATCTACTCTGAACGGTTAATAGTATTTTTGACTATTCTCTTTGGACTTTTTTTGCTCATCCAATAAGTGTATAACAGTGAATAAAGTGCATAATCCATACTACTAAGTAGTATATCAACAATTTTTCTTTTAATTCTAAATCGATAACGGTTTTAATTAGTCTAATCAAAATCTATATTTGAAAATTAACGCACATATGACAGTTTTAGTTTGTTTTATCCTACTGAAAAACAAATTTTGATAAGAAAAAGCAACAAAACAAACAAAATGGCAAGTAATATAATACGACCTTCACAAAAACTAGAAAAAGAAAATCTACACATATTTCTCTACGATGCGTTTCATTTGAGCTGAAACATACACATACATAAACTAATAATATTTTTCATCACAAAAAATTTTTGTATGAGGTTAAAAAATTTGAATGAAATTAAACACGAAAAAAATCAGAATTCAAAAAGATGAATAAATGATGAAAGAGTGTATAAAACAACAAAAAAAATTATTAATAAATTGTTAGCACAACAGGCTAACACAAACAAAATGAAGCGTATTTTATACGTAAACCAAACGTTTTTAAAAAACAACCAAAATCAGCAATATTATATACAAAAATGCGGAATGGACAAAAAAAAAACCGAGACGATTCTATTGAGAAGTCGCTGATTGTGGTTGTGTATCTGATAAAACATTTGCTTTCTTTATATCACCAATCATAAATTTAGCATCATCGTTCACAGCCAATGGTTGTACCTGTCCAGATTCTTTAATACTATTCGGAAGATTATCATTTTTTAATAATTCTGTCAGAATAACAGGTGATGAGTCTTGCTTTGTATTGGCATTAGTTTGTTCAACTGGATTTGCAATTTTTAATGATGCTTGGTTATCATGGGATGGTAGAGATGAAAAGTTAGATGACGCATTAATAGGAGAAGGTAAAACTGATGAAGGCTGCACTGGATTCAAATTATAAAGATTATCATTAGGAGTTGATGTTTGTGAGTCACTAACCGGGTACAAATGTTGATTGGAGAATTGTTGTTGTGTAATTGGAGTTTGTTGATAAGGATAGCTAGGAAATGTTTGCCCATTCCATGATTGTGGTTGACTACTTTGCAATAACGTAAAAGTTTTCTTTTCATTTTGTAGTGGGGATGGAGGCAATGTTGTAGTGAGATGAGGTGCGTTGTGACCATTCATTGTTTGTGAAGATATAGGTGGTGGTCCTCTCGGTAATGGCCATCGTGGAGAAATCGATATACTGCCATTCGTATTTGAAACCATATTAGCAAGTTTTTCAGGAGGACGAACGGTTTGCCATCTTAAAGTGGGATCGGCCATAGGAGTTTGATAACTATGAACTGGATGACGTGGAATAGTTGCTGATGGGCGTTGAATCAACGGACCCATTGTGACTTTATTAAAACCGACACCTGTTACACTTGTTTGTTTATTTAATAACGACGAATTACTACCAGTTCGGGAAGCAGAAAAAGTCTAAATTAACAAAAGGTAGAAGTAGGTTTTTAAAGCTCATGTAACACGCAGAACAGATGAGTTTGTAACTAAAGTTGGACAACTTTTCTTTATAAAAAATATCCGGAAGAAGGCTGGCGTAATAAACAAAGAAATAATCAGTAGAACGTACAAATATTATTTGTCCTTAGACACTACAGTAAAGTAAAGACCAACAAATCTGGATTTAATGAGATCCTGTCGCCACCATTCATTCTAAGATAAGTTATATTTTACCTGTTCGAAGACGTGTACTTATACCTTCTAAAACAAGTTTGACTGCACATTAAACTCTGAAGAAGCATTCTACTTATCTGTAATTTTCTGATTTGATTTCTAGAGACTTAGCTATTTGATATGCCAAAGACATTGTTTACAAACATATTAAAATTCATTAGAAAATGATCTACTGCTTCAACTAACCGTGTTTTGATTATCATTTAGCTTTTTTCCATCATTTTGTCCTGTATTATTAGCAGTTTTTAATTTTTTCTTCTCTAAATCTTGTTCACCGTCTTCCAAACGTTTTCCTGCATGCCGTTTCCATGAAACATCTTCATCAGCCGAATCAAATCTATCATCTTCATCTTCTTCTCGATCGCTATTTGCATGTCCCGATCTATCCACAAATAATCGATTTAAATGATCTGTAATACTTGCACGGTATGGTGGTTTTTTTGTCGATTGGCTTTTATCTTCATTTAATTCACCGTTCGATTCAAAACTATCATCATCTGAACGTCGCTTTTTCTTTATCTGCTTTTTACGTTTTTCATCTTCGTCATCATTGAATGCATATTTTTGATTTGTTTTATTTCGTGTTGATCGACGACGTGAATCGAATTTTGAATCGAAATCATCACTTTCAGAATTATAATCGTCATTATGGACTGATGCATCATCTGATGCTAGAATAGAAATATAATCTTTACAAATTAGGAAAAACAATGGTATAAATAAAAAAACAAACAGCAACTAACCAAAATCGTCACCGTGTGAATTTCTATTTGATTTTCGTCGAGACGGACGACAGGATCTGAAATAGTAAGTGATCCTGTTAATAACGGAAACGGTTGTAAAGAAAGAAATCAAAGTTACCGATTTTTTTGTCGTCTGTCATGAGCAGTAGTATCCGACAATTCTTCACCGCTCAATTCTTCTTGCTCATTTTCATCTTCATCCTCTTCCTCACTTGAATGACCGAGCTTTTTTCCCTTTTCACCATCACTAAAATCACCATCCTCTTCATATCGTCGCTTCTTTTTTGCTAATTCATCATCGGACGTATCTTGAATCAAATAAAAATAAAAGCATCCTTAAGAATCAAGCAAAACGAAAATGCACAGCAAAAATCACTTAGCAGAAATCAGTGATCCACTTCCATATATGTGACCTTTATGAGAAGGATACCGTATGTGATATTAAATCAGATTTTCTGCAACAAACAACCTTTGTGGATGTGACAAAGCCAGAGTAGATTACAGTCATATATGTTAGAATCAAAACGCGTCCTTTAGCGTAAGGAAGCAGCGTATATGTTGAAGAGAAAGCAAGAGTTTTTAGCCTGAATTATTTTCTTTAAACATTTGTGTTTACTTTAATTTGGTGATAAACAATTTTGTTCCTAGTCATGTGAAGAAATAACGTTCAGAAAAATGAAATGTCACGAATTATTTTAAAATATTAACTATGGCTCACCTGATTGTTCTTTATTTTCTTTTGCTTTATCATCATCTAATATAGCACTTTTCATTTGTTTCTCATAATCATCAAATCTATAATTGATTTGATTTCTCGTTCTACATGATCTCACCCCGAGCTGTTCATACGGCACACGATTAACTGGTTTATCGGATCGATTAGTAGTAGACGATTGTTTATCAACTTTTTCAACATTATTTGCCGATGTTTCATTTTCTTTCTCTTGATCTGTTATGTCATGCGACCGTTCATCTTCGGGTTCATCGTCGGAGTAATAATCGTAATTTTTTTTTCGTGTAGTATTTCCATCTACATGATAAAAAATAACAATAAAAGAGAATTCTAATAATGAAACATACAAAATTAACCTTTGTTTCCTTTAAACATGTAATTTAAATTTGCATATACATTTGATAAACGATCTTTTCGTTTCAAAACGTCTTGATTACGTTTCGCTTCTAATTCTTCATAATTTTGAATTATTTGTTTTAATTTTTCCACTAATATTTCACATAAACGTTTATGTTCACAAAGTGGACAATACCAATTACCATCAGGTACTGTAAGTAAAGCAGGTTTTAAACAATCTGTATGATACGCATCATCACAATCATCACATAATAGTAATGATTCTGGATGATCAGTTTTTGAACAAGTACTACAGGCGGTAGTCGATAAGTGTTCGGGTAATAAAGCCCAATCTACATAAAAGAAAAGAAAGTTTAATGAGTATCGTATGGTGCATAATTGAGAGACTACAAACTTCATAATTTCTATTCCGAAGATATCTTACCAACGAATTAGATAGTATCATCAGCATCATCAAGCTTGAGATAGAATTACTCTGGATTTTAATAAAACCTAATCATGTACTTCGTAGCAGTATGATACTATCTAATTCGTTATATATTTTCAACTGCTGTACCAATTCATTGTTTATCTTACCAACGTCAATGTCTGTTTCTGTTTCTTTACGATGTTTAGAAAGGACGGTTGTGGCTGATGGTATATAGTCATCTTCATCCTGATTGTCTTCTATTTCCATTTCATAGTCAAGATGATCTGGCTCCTAAAATGAACAGTGAATTACGTAAAGAAAACACGAATAATAACAACGCTATATTGAATATTTTTAATAAATAAAAAAGAATAACTAACCTCCTCTATATAATCGTCATCTTCGTCTGAAATTATTCTTTCATCATCTGAACTTGTTTCACTCAAATACACATCGCCAACAATTTTTACACGTCTCTTTTGCTTTGTACGTTTCGTTTTCGTTGGTGTTGATTGTGAAGAAGCTAACTGTTTCATCGTACCATTTTCATTCTTCATTTTGCTATCTGTCTTCCTATTCGATTTGATAGGTGACTAAAAGATACTCAATAGGGTTTCTTTTAGAACGTAAGATAATTAGAATAGAAATTTTTTAAACCACATATAATTTATTTCAGCGTAGGAGATAACCGATGAGTTTTTAGTTGTAGTTCATAAACTAACTTACTTGAGTGTTTGATTTGTCTTTAGTCGGTGTTGTAATTTCTGTCTTTAATGTACGTCTCGAACGTCGAAGCGCAATGGGACGGTCATCACTGACCGACGTTTCATCAGTATTCGTGTTTGGTGTTAACAAATTTGAATTTTCATCACCATCATTTGTAGTACTATTCTCATCGTCCACATATTTTCGTTTTCTACCATTTGTTATGTTTCTCTGTTTTTTATTTTCTTCGGGTTCATGTTGTAGTGTGTCCGTATCATCATAGTCAATTTGTTTAGCTTTATTCTTTCTTACTCTTTTCTTTCTTGTCCAGCTAACAGCTCTTCGTCTTGATCGCCGTTTAGCTACATCATTTTTTTCGTCATAATAATACTTATGGACCATCTCTGTCTTAACTTGTTGTTGATTCGTTCCGTTTAAAATTTTACTATCATCTGGACTCTTTTTAACGTCATCATTCTGTTTATTGTACTTTATTTCCTCTTCTTTGTTATCCTCAGATTTAATTGGTGGAATTGATATATCTTCTAGTTTAACTGTCACATTTTTCAATATTTTTTGTGATGGATCTAGAAAAAATATCCACGTAATCTGTAATTGAGTTCATATTGAAACAACAAAGACACACTCACCACTTTCGGTATCTGAATTTATATTTTCATCATCTTGTTTCATATTTGTTTCACTAATTCCATTCTCCGCAGATGGGTTTTCATCAGTACCATTCTTAACATCTGGAATATTAAAACCAAAGAAAGCTCCAGAAAAGTTATAAATAATGATATTAAACTGTTACCGTCTTTTTCATTTTCATCTAATTTTGGAATGATTTCTTTAGTATCATCAAAATACAGTTTAGGATCAATGGAATCTTCAGGCAAACCAGATAAAAAAAATGTTGGTATTTCAAGCTTCCATTCTAAATTGAAATAATTGAATTGATGCAAAAACATATCTTTTTTAACGTGTTCATTAGTCTACCTTGGTATTTCTTCTTCAATATTTGATCGTATGCTAAGCATTTTATAAAGCGTTCAAATTCTACAGCATTTCTAGAGAAAAAAATAGATGATAAACGTGACGATTTTCAAATCGTTTGCAAAAATAGTATAAAAAAAAGAAAAGTAGAGTGGTCAGAGAGTAAGTGAAATAGAATAGTTGGTAGATGATATAATTACTTTGCTATATTTGACCATGTTTTTTCACAATCTGAACTCTCACGAAATAAACGTATAAAGCATTCGTTATCCTAAACAAACATAAAATATTAAAGAATTCATGACTTAAACTAGAAGAACAGTTACTATTCTTGATAATGAGTGTGTGTTTTCACGATAGGACGCCAATATTTTCTACTCTGTATGGAGAAAGCGAAGAAAATATTAGACTACAAACTTCTATGCTATCGAGTAATGTAATCTCTAGCGTTTTTCTACATTTATTTAACAAAATCTTATCAACAGTTTTATATATGATCTATATTTCTTCTATTGACTAAAAAAATAACATACCATAAATAGCCAGTAAGATGAACCATATCGATCTCTTCCAAGCTAAAAATAAAAATAATGTAAATGTCAAATATTGTGCATACATATGAACGTAATTATCATCTACCGGTTGTGAGCGAATCTCATTCGATGGTTTATCTTGCAATGCAACTTTAAATGTTTGATTTTGATCAAATTGGGATTCAAGCAGATTCTAAATTTACAAGAAAATTAAAAATGTTTTTGTTTACTATGCTCGATTATACCTTTAGAATACGAATTTTCACATTGATTGTTGCACGTGCATAACCAGCGGATGTCAAATGATCGCCGTCTTCCCAATTAAATCGATATGAAAACTAAAAGATAAAGTTGATATCATGTTCTGTTAGTAACAAATTAAAGTTTCATACTCTTGTTATTATTGAAACAAATTTTTCGCGTTTCGCATTTTTACCAATTGATAAACGTTTAAGTAATAAGATATGAAAATCAATTAAGCGTTGATTAACTATAAAGAATAAGAAAATGAATGATATTATTATGAAAAAATATTATTCAATTTTCAACTTACTATTCTCATTATCACTTAATAAATGTTCTTCAAATTGTCGTAAGGAATAATCATTCAAATCGAGTAACGGACGAAATTTATCCATAAAACAAAGCACAACACCATAATTCGAATCATTCAATAAACATAAACGACGTTCTTCTTTCTCAGTTTTAGCTTTTAAACGATCAGATTTTTCGTCTCGTTTTTCATCAAGTTTTTCCTCTATTTTTATCACAGATGACAGTTCAGTTGTTCCATTTAGTTTATCATCCACTAATGGCTTCGAAGGCTCAAGTGGCTCTGTTGTGGCCAATATGATTTCAGCAACATTTTGCTCATTTGAAGAGACTGCTGGAGTCGATGGCTGTTCGCTTGTGGATACTACAGACTCAGTTGTTACTTTTTCATCCATATTCATTAATTTTTTGACTTTATCAATTGTAAACGAATATCAAACATTGAAAAGTTGTTAAGTAGAAAGAATATCACAACATAATCTATAAAAATGAATATAATCTAGCAAAATTGTATCAACAAAAAGATGAAAATTTAATAACTTTTATTCTGACTAAGACTAAGACTAAGATTGTTTATTCACGAAAAGTGAGAGTCATCAAAGGTCACCGACCTGTAGTAACAATGACTCAAGCCAAACAACACCAAAATAGTAATAAAAGAAATAACAAAATAAAGAA